GGAAATAGACTTATCACAAGTCTTATTTTCCCTTGAACCTCATATACTAGAGAATGTGCACTCACCTTAGTTTTGCTTTGATTCGATTATAATCCTTCAATTGATCCGGAACGGGATCACGTTCTACATCTACATCATCATACATAGATCTATATTAGTATTATAACTAATATACTCTAATGGTTCACTCTTTAGACCAAGAGAAAAGTCAATTTCATCTTTTAATGAAGGTATGCATCGATGCACTACTGATGCATCGGTGCATAAAATGTATTCGATGTTGTATTATTACTGGGATGCATCGATGCATGCCTTATGCATCGATGCACTAATTGCATTCGATGTTTCCTTATTAATGGGATGCATCGATGCACAAATTGCATTCGATGTATTTATTTTAAAAGAGTGCATCGATGCACTACCAATGCATCAATGCACCTTCAAACAATTTCTGGGTTTTAACATTGATGCATCGGTGCACTATGAATATGCATCGATGCACTCTGCCCAGAACCTCTTTTTGAACCCGAAAAATCCTTCTTTTTGGATTAAATCCTTCATATTTCCACCCCTTTCATATTCCTAACTTTCATATACATAATTAAACTCATTAATATTCATTTATCTCATCTTTAACCTTAATATCCTCTCCTCTTTAGGAATTTCAAGAATCATACCCTATTTTCCACATGTTTCAAATCCAATTCTAACACTTAATACTTCTTAATTAAGCTGATGGCAAGTCAAATCCAACTTTAGAACTTCAAAAACCTTTCTATAACAAAAGTTCATTTATAAACCCTTAATAAAAATTCCTTTCTAATTCTATCTTTTTGGTGTTTTAAACTTATATAAGCTTTCCTTAAGCTTATATAACCCTCAAAGACTCAAATCCAACTTAAAACTTTCAAGAAATCAAAAGCAAAATCAAACTTACCTTTGCTCTTGGCTTCCACGTGAAGAAGAAGAAGAAGAAAGGAGAAGAGAATTTTGGAGAATTCTCTCCCTTTCCACGTGTATATAATTCCATTTTTTTCCTTAAATGATCAAATGACCATTTTACCCTTTATTTCCTTTAATAATTACTAAATAACCTTCATCATATATATCCAATAATCATTGAACTATTTCATTCTTCTACTTTAGTCATCAAATTCTAAAACTTTACAATTTGGTCACTAATCCATAATTTGGGATGTTACACGTTGGATATATTATTTTAATAGTCTCAGTTAAGTGGGACTTATGTGAGCTATTATTTTAATATATTTAAGATATTTGTCACGTCGAAATGACTAGTTCTAGTGATGCCCTTGTCGCGCGGCTAGAATGAAACTGGTCTATCTGATCTCAAAATTGTCATAGGGCTTCGGTAGGTTCCCAACTCTCCTCACTCTCAGAAAGTCCCTTCCACTGAACAAGGTATTCATGCCTTGTTCGGTGTCCCACTTGACGAATGACTCTCTTTGTGTGGATGGCTTCTACATCTTTCTAGTAAGAGACCTTCACTCCAACTGACGCTCGGTGTGAGTTGCCTCGATTCAAATTCTCCTAGACTTCCACTTAAACTCGGTGTGAGTTCGCTCATTCATGGAGACATTGGACATGAGGTTTGCATCCATAGAGTTCTACTTAACCGCCATGGGGGCTCAACAATTAGAGAATCAACGAGAGATGTAAGCTAACAATGAAGCAATGAATTATCAACTCAATGCTATGGACGACAAACTCAATGCTCTCACACTCGATATGGCTGCTCTACGAGCACATTTTCCTCCTCCCGATCCACCGATAGATGACTAAAACCTTTTCTTGCTCGTTTTCATATGTTGAATTTGAACTTATTGTTAAAACATTTTGAATGTTTTGGATTTGTGTGTTTTGGATTTTGGATATGTTTGCTTGAATGGTTTGACTATTTAATTTGAACTTCATGTTTATATTGATTTCATTAATTTTTGCATCATTTACATCTTAGTTGAAATATGACCAATTACCATTACCTATTATTATGAATATTGATTTATGGAGTAATGGCTAACAAATTCTCTTGATTGTGATCTTAGCAGCTATAGTTATATCAATATATATATCAATTGGTTATTTTCCTTAAAAACTTGTTTAAAATGTTTTCATAGAGTCTTTTTGATTTAACAAAAATGGGAAGAATAAAGAAAGGGGAGTAATTTTTCAAAATTGATTTCAAAAATTACTTTCAAAAATAAAATCTTAAAATTACTAAAATGTTTTATTATATAAAAAGGGGGAGATTGTTGAAAACATTTTTATGTTTCGATATAACAAATAAAGTATAAATGAATTTTAAGATTTTATATTCGATTTCAAAAATAATATTCGATTAAATTATTCGAATATCAAAAATATTACTCCAGGTTTTCAAATGTCAATTTTAATCCTTACTTAAGTGTAAAATTGTGTTTCAATCTTAAAATATTTTTGAAACAATTTTTACAAAGTATTTCGAACTATAATCGAGCCAAAAATAATTTGTATAAAGGGAGGTACCGATACACTCTTAGATGTATCGATACACCCAAATTTTGAATAAAATAAGGGTACTGATGCATAGCCGATGTACCGATGCACTCCAGGCTCAGAAAAACATCAAATGTAATTAGTGTACCGATACCCCTGGTAGGTACCGATACACCTACGCTCCCAACAGATTTTTAAATGAAAAACATACCACAACGGGTCTATTGACTTCACCAATGATCCCCAACGTTTAGAATCAATCCAAGGTGTATTTAAACAAGTTTTCAAGCCATTGATGAAGAACAAGAAACAAGAATTGAGAGAGAATCAAAGAGAAAACATCAAACCTCAAGTTTGAGCAATTCAAGCCTATTTTCCATTCAATATTCATTTTGCTTTCAAGAACACCATTTGTGCTCAATTGTATTCATTTTTTAGTGTTCTTTCTTTTTTCTATAATTGTGCAAACATCTTGTCTTGAGAGGTTTTTCTGTAAGTTTGCGAAATTTGTAATTTTCTCTTTAGGAGATAGTGTTCTCAAGAATTTGGGGTATAATTATTGAGGGAAGTGTAAGGTTACTCTTTGTCCTCAAAAGAAAGACAAATTAGTGAATTTGTGGAAAATCCTTAGTGTGGATAGTTAAGTTAGTAGACGTAGAATTTGTTTGAGAAAGTCGAACCACTCTAAATCGTTGTGCAAATATTTTCAATTTTCTGCAAAAGCTTCCACCGAAATTTTTATTGCCAATTCACCCCCTCTTGGCCGATTCATCCGATCGATTAACTCAACAGTAATCATCGCTTCACCACTCGAAAATGGAAAGTATGCATCTCGGGCCTCCAATGTTCAATCAGAGCCGAAATCAATGTCGGGTTCACCTTAAAACCACATAGCAATGTGGCTGGATACATGACGAATTGTTGTAGATATATAACGATCCGCTGATGTGGATCTCTCAATGTCATTCCTCGTTGATGAATGCCTTGTTCTTCTTCCGGACGAAGTAAGAACGAAGAAATATGGACACTGTCAAGGCGTAACATTTCTTCTCAAGTAGACAATTTTTTAGGAATTCTTTAGAAACTATGTTTTTTTCTCAATTTTTTTCATAACAATATACAGTAAAATTCCTAAACCCCAAACCTCTATTTATAACTTCAAACCCAACGACTATAAATGACTATGTTTTTCAAAAATCTGACAAAACTCATCACCCGAGTTGACGAGCTCAATGGTGACTGTTGGAAAGTGATGTTATAGTTGCCTATTTCCCAACAGCTTTAAACGACTAGTTTTTTAAATTTAGGAGATGAGTTCCATCTTTCTTTTCTCTTTTTTTTAAATTATGTAATTATTTTTTTTAAATAATTTCTTAAGGGGCTCGTTACCAGAAGTCCCTTTAAATATATTAAAATAATAGCCACATGAGGCTCACTTAACTGGGACCATTAAAACCTAGAGTGTCCTATTGGGTCAAACAATTTGTTATTCTCGGTATTGAGGCACAAAACCCTTTCTTCTAATATTACGTTTTACTTCAACTATTTATGATCCAAGGAAATTTAAACAGGTGGAACATATTTTGGCATTAGCTTGGGTTGGGGCGACTGGTGGACATGGAAGCTAGATCCATCACATTTTGCTGAATTCGTGACCTACAGAAAACATGGTATCTCGAGATTGATAGATTAATTTTAGGGTTTCACATCTAAATTAAACTTGATTGATTCCACCTAAAAGAGCAAATCCATATTGAAAAATCAACGTACCCGTCTAGAACATAAACCCCCATAGGTGTATTCAATTCCCAACGGCCAACGAATTACATAACATCCATCAGCTTTTCCGACAATGAAGAATGGAGAACCCAATGAGTCAAGAGTTGAAGGTAAGTTGACACTCAAACTCGGAAGTGAGTGCGTGTCTAAAACGGCTATGCTTATTTTTCCAAGTTTCTACATATATTCGGTAGCTCCCAAAATGGGGGGAAAGAAAGAAGAAAAAGCTACACATGAGTATCTCTTATCACAAAAAAAATATGTTGACCACCAACTTATATCGAGTATTTGTTTTGTTTTAATGGTTGGGCACATATTTGATTTTTTTTAAATCACTTTGGCCCCAAAATCTTTGTTTTCTTTCCATCAATGGTACTAGTAACACGAGATATTATTCGATTAGAAGATTCAATTTATTAAAAGTATGGCTAAATTAATAAAATATGTAAATAACAATGATCAAGTGTGTAATTATTTTAAAATATTTAATAACAGTTAACTTGTGATAATCATATCTTAATTAGAAAAAACAAAATTAATTAGAAAAAATAGATAAAACAAGTGATTAATTAGTTAACCTAAAATAAAAATAAAAACGTTGCCTCCTGAAGGGATATTGAAAACCAACGTAAACGCCAAGAGCCTTTCCATATATCTAACCAGTCAAAATTTTTCTTCTTAAGTTAACTGATCTACAACTTCTAACTACAATCCTCCTCTCACAAGGTCAACTTACCCAATCAATCAATAAATGAATATTTTTACTGTACAAAAATTACTACCTAACTATATAATTCAAGGGGTTAATTTTAGTTAACTAGTGGGGAATTAAGGATTCAAGAGAAGATAATCTGGGATCAACTCTTTTCTGGCAACTTCCAGTTTGTATCAATGATCCTACAAGAACCCGACCTCAAACTTCTTCACTTTCGTCTCTTTCGGTCTGTTTTGTTCAATCCCTTCGTTTTTTTGAAGTAAGCTAATCCGATATCCGTGATCAGCGCATACTGCCATGGGCATAAACAAAGGCAAGCTGTCTTCACAGACATCCGAGGCCGACATTCTTTGTTGGCAGATGTAATTTCACATGACAAGTAATGTGCATAAACAAAGGCAAGCTGTCTTCCATGCCAGACACCAAAGCTAGGAGACTCCAGCATTTCCAAGTCTGACCTGCTCATGTGCTTTCAAAACCTCTGAGGTGAAGTTGCCCAAGGCTTCAAAGATTGGGACCAAACCTGCTTGTAAACTACTTGAAGCAGCATCATTAACTAATTTGATGGCATCCTTATGCCTGATTCTCTCTTCCTCTATTTTTTTCCTAAGGGAATCCAGATCCACCTTTAGGTCATCCAGCGGTGAAACTCCGCTTTCGGAAGGAACCTTGGATACAGCATTTTTATCCGATACTGCTTTTTGCTCCTGATCCATCCTATGTCTCTGTAACTGTAACTCCCTAAGCCGTTTCTCGAAATCCTTTGAGAGATATTGTGCTTTGGTCCTCTGACGAAGCTCCTCATCTTGCCTTTCCCATAACTGGTGTAGGCTGGAAGCAAAACTCTGCATGGCATTTGCTACACCTTTTTCCGAAATTCGATCCATTGCTTGGTACCAGTCATTGCAAATTACAAAAATTGGCGGTGCCCCAACTCGGCCTGGGGAGAAAGGAGCGACCCCATCAGCAGTTATTTCCTGTTCGCGTTCAATGCATCTCATGAGCCACCCATACAAGGACCCAACATATGCCTTTTGGGTATTGATCCAATTATTAAAGCGAGTGCACCAGTCCAAAAGCTCCATCTCAAGCTCAATAGTAGCTTTCAAACCCGAATCTCTTTGAAAATCAGTATTTGCTCTTAAAGATCGAACTTTGGTTTCCATTATGGCTTGGAACTGCTTCTGATGGCAGCTAAGCATGGACCTCCACATTCTTATCAACCTGCAAAAAAAATAGGGCCGCATATCATTGCCTAAGAACCTAAGAAGTAAAACGAAGAAACAGGTGTTACAATCAGTTCAAATGAAAGAAAACCTTAAACAGACTGACTACCTCCGAACAGATAAAGGGATATCAAGTACCAATCATATAAAAGTGAAGGCCTCCAGAAGTTTTTGACAATATGAAAAATAAAACATTCCACAAATCTTTTTTCGAAGTTGCAAATTAAATTTGACAAGAAGAACGAGACAAAACTCCATCATTTACCCCCACAAGTTGCAAGATAATATAATGAAAGATCCGTGTGGCTCCACTTACAAACCACAGACATACCAGCAATACATGCAAGTATCATTATGCAGATGCACGATTCACCATTGCAACAACATATTATTGAATACATCTAAAACTAGAAGCTAAAAATGTTTTGCATGCACAATGACAGAATCCATTAATTGTGCGTGGATTCAACAAAAACAACCAACAAAATAAAATACTGATTCTGCTAGAATCACATGAAGCCATGTAACAGATGATCAAATCTAACTAGGAAAACAACAAAATTCAATACCCATAAACCAAGTTGGTGAGCTGGGGCTGCAGTTCTTCATCCCTCAGCTTATGTATCCTAGTTGATATAGCTTCAACAGCCTTTATACAAACATCAATCTTTGTCAACAACTTTCTTATTGAAGCCCGCATTGCATCAATCTTGCTGGACTCTGCTCCCTGGTTATCTAACATTCTCAGTTTTTTACACTTCTCCTCATAAATAACCCGTAGCCTTTCTTCATCCTAAAATCATGGTAAAAATAAGCATTCAAAAATATTTTCAAAACATTTTTGAACGACAATTAGTTAGCTTGGGATTTTAATTTTGAATCGAAGTGCAAGAAATAGCAGAGTCATGCAAAGGACACCAAATTATATAGAATCACTTAAATGCTACTACCGCACATTACGTTCTAAAATCCGACAATTATTGATAGCTTTTTGTTCACTTGAGCAGTAAGAGTTGAAATGACAGAAACTGGGGGGAAAGTCGACTATTAAACATGAAAATAATAATAACAAAAACAGAGGAAATCCAGCTTAGCTAGGAAAACCAAGGAAAATATTAGATACTCAGATAGTAACAACCTTGAAAATCAATCAAATAAGCATGACATTTTGACTATACAAGAAAATGAATGACTAAAAGAACTATAGCTTAAGGAATGATAAATATTATGCTATACAATTACAACCTTTTCAATCCTCGAATATAAATTGATTCAGCAATAGATATCAGGCAAGTAAAGAAGCAAAGTTTATCCTTAGTCATATAACTGGCATACCTTGACTTCTTTATATAATTTCTTTTCCCATGCATAAAGCTCCTCCAAAGTTGATGAAAGATTTCGATGCTTTTCATCCTGCTCTGGAATCTGACAATATTCTTTTGCCATTTTCATTGTCCTAGAAGTTATCGGTATTGATGGTTTAGGTGGAGGAGATGATATAATGTTAGGCGCCACCAGATACAGCATCCTAGAAAATTTCACTGCACCAAAGAGATGTATGCTTCACTAAAGCAGAGCATAGCAAATGACTGAAAACCAATAGAACTTCAAACCTATTTAGACAAATGATTCAATCATCTACGTACACAAGGATAGAACAAATAAAATCATGAAATAATACAAGGGGTTAACTTTATAGACGACCTGTCGCATTGTTTGAACTAATGCTCAGTGTTTTCAAATTTCACACATACCAATTCAATAAAATCTTTAAACATCTCTCTCCCAAAGCCTAACCAACCATATTCAAGAGGCTAAGTTCACAGAATCACAAGCATCCAACAAGAAGCAAAAATGAAGAGCCAAAGAGGAATTTGTCGGAAAGGAAAAAAAACGAAAACTCACCTCCAAACCCAGTTCCTTTACGTTGCTGGTAAGGCAACTTGCCAACCTCAAGCAAAACGGCAACCTCTTTCCCATAACTAGAGGCAGTTTCAAACTCATCCTTTATCTCCTTCACAACCTCCTGGAGATCTCTTGTGCCATTGACGGACAATGTGGTTAAACTACTCAGCTTGGAAGAGTCAACATCCATATTAGATACCTCTTCAACCTCAAAACTGACCCTTTTGCTCTTCGGAAAGTCTTCCTCAGGACTCTTTGTAAGAATATTATCAGGACTTCCACTACTTGAACTAATATTAATATGATCCCCAGGCTCCAAGCTCTCGCTTTTACTTGATGGCACTGCCTTTGAAGTTGAGGCTTCGGTAATACCATTAACCCTTTGAACCGGAACTGACTTTGAAGTCCCTTCACCAAAGTCCCTAATTTTATTATTACCACCACTATTATAATTATGATTCATTTCCTCATTCACCATTTTCCTCTTTTCTTTGTGAGCAGCTCTTAACATCTCAGGCTCTGTTTCATCTTCCAAATCAGGGATTCCTTCTCTCTCCCTCACCTCCTTTGAGTCCGGACTACTGGTGGTCGACCCGTAACCGTATCTAGACGCAGGATAGTAACCCGGATAACCACTGTTATCAAAAGTATCAAACACGTTAAGAAAATCCCATGTCGAATTTCTCGGTGGAGACGGCGGAGCAGGTGGTGGTTGAGGTGGCCGGGGAGGAGAATTTCTCTGCACATACCCATGTTCTCCTCTCGGAGACCCCGATGGGTACCCAAAAAAGCCTCCATTTGTATAACTTGAGTAGCCATTATGTCCTTCAGGCTCCTGATAAACAAAAGATTGAGAAGGTGTTGCAGATTTCTTCATGTAATACATATAAGAAGAAGAATTACCATTAGTCCCCCTGTTATCTTGAGGGGGAGGGTAAGGGTATCCATAGCCATAACCATAACCCCCGTATCCACCATAGCCGCCATAGCCATAGTTGTAGCCATAAGGCGCTGCTGGTCCTTCTTGGTCTGGGCTGTGGCTGTGGCCATGGCTATGACTATGGTCCCTTTCACCGTGACCCAAAGGTGAACCGGAACCTGACCCGGAAATAGAAGGTGACCCAGATGACAAATCCAGATGAGACCCCTCACCATCACTTTCTTCTTTGCCTTTTCTCGTGTTTTTTCCGCGTTCTTCAGTGGAATGTGAAAGGGAAGTTGAAGAAGAAGATACAACGTTGTTGTCGTCTTTCCTCTTGTTCTTTTTCGAGGATTTGAATTCGTCGGAAGGCAATGTGAGAACAGGGGAATCAACGGAAGAGGCAGATCCGACGACGAGCTCTTCGTCGACGAACTTACGGATCGCTTCACCAACGTCAAGCAGGGAGTGAAAGTAGGTCACATGAGCGGCGGCCAGAGCGGAACGGTGAATCGACGCCGCTTTGATTAGCTCCTTGCGTTCTTTACAAAGGTTTACCAAAGGTAAGTCGTCGAATTTGGAAGGTCCGCAGCCCATAATAATACTATTAGCGACGAAAACCGTAGCCAAAACCGAAGAACAACAACAAAAAGAAGAAGAAAAACCCAGATTGAAACTTCGATTCAGTAGTTCCATTCATGATCCCTGCCCACAAAACAACCCCATAAAGCCAACCATTCTTTACCAACAAAAAGGAAAAACAATACTGTTTCAATTAAAAGAACAACACACCACTAAAATATCTACAAGGACAAACGAATGGATGATCAAAGAGACAGAGGGAAGGGGGAAGATAGAAATCTGACCGTTGAAAGTAGAGATGCAAGAAATGACCGTCCATGCAGAGAAAAGACAGAGAACAGTTTGAGATTGATGAAACTGAGATATGGGTTTTTGTTATAGTTTTGGATTGTAGTAATTGAATTGGGGCTCAGTACAGAAAGAAAATAATAATAAAAACAATGATTTTATGGAGATGCGTGAAGGGCGTGTGTGGGGATGTCAAAAAATGAATGGTTTATAGAGAGAAACGACAGTATTGGTTTCAGAGAGAAGGGGGCATCAGATTTTGCAGAAAGAGAGAGAAGACGAAGAAGAAGGCTCGTGGAACCCGACATTAGTCATTATTACCCCCCGCCCGCCCCATTTTCTCACTCTGTTTTACGATTCTTGTAATACCACCACTGTTACTTTACAAAAAGAAAATACCATACCAGCACTCTGAGAAAAAAAAAATCGAATAATTCAGAATTGATGTTTAGCGAAAGTACTAACACGTCCCTCTAATATAAAAATCACTTCAACTTAATCTCTTTACTTTACCATTGAATAAATCTACTTCTTATATCCAGTACTTATGGTACGTATCAATTCTATAAACTTTTGATATTAATTTTTTTACAGGGTCATTAAAGATGGTATCTTTCAATTTAATATATAATTTATATTAAATATTTTTCTTTTAATACTATTTGAATTTACATAATCAATTAAGTGGCCTTAATAGCAAAGGAAAAAAAATTATTTTTTAAAGATTTTAGATTTGAGCAGCTCCCCGTTCGCAAGAGTAAAGATCTGTAATGAAGCGTGATAAAAAATTTTAAAGTTTGCTTTTAATTTAATCGTTTAATTAAAATTTAAAATTTATTTAAGTTATAAATCATACTTCTCATGTCCCATTAAACTTGTCCACTATTGATTTTTTGTCAATTTTTTGTAACTTTGACTTATTATCGTTTAAAATTTGCTATTAATAAAAATATAAAAAATATATCTTGAAAATTTTTAATCAAGTAATTATTCAATATATATTTTATAAAATATAAATATTTAAAATAATTATAATCAAAGTTTAAAAATTTTTACTTCAATCTATAAAATTATATTCTAAACTTATAAAAATTTAGAATTTAATTCTAACCCCTGCGTATGTATTTTTAACTCTAACCTCGAAGTTAATTACATATAGATTTTATTAACAGTGTATGATACAAATTATTTTATACAATTAAATATTATAAACATAAAAAAATATTAATTTTTGTAGATGAAAGGCCACCAACAATTTGCATCTTAACCAATGATATAAGATTTAGGTAGGTCAGAGACCTGAACGTTTTAACACTGAAAATGTTGAAATTAGATGCCCTAACGAGAAAAAAATCTCATAATACTATGTATATATATATATATATATATATGCAAATCAGTGCTAGTCATGAGCTTTGTGATCGGAATTGGACTGTGAGAGTTTCGCATATTCGGAGGGAGCAAAATGGGGTTGTGGATAGACTGGTGGCACTAGGACGTGATGAACCGGTAGGGACTATTTTGCAGTCGGCCCCGTCGGATAGTATCTCCGATTTGCTGATGATGGAGCGGATGGAATCCAGTTGATTGTTGTTGTGATCTGTCCTTAACAAAAATAATATTTTTTTTTTATTCAAGTTAGATTCGACAGTTTAATTTATCGTTAACAGATAAAAATTAAGTAATGATTTATTAAGGAGTAATTCATTCGAATAAATACATGTCTAAGCTTGTGATGAATTTGAGGAGATTGTAGTCATTTATGATACATTGATACTACTTTGGACAATGAAGCCAATTGGGTTTGAGAGTAAATGTTTGTTGGTGTTCATTCATGACATGCATTTAATATGATGCGCAGTTGCTACCACACATTTGATGCATCTCTTTCTTATTTCGGAAAACTAATTATTAACCTTGGATTAAAAATATAATTATAACATTTAAGAGTCAAGTATGCAAATGGTCATCGACTAATGTACAGTGATTTATTAAGTCTATCGATTATTAAAAGTTATAAAATATTCCTTCAATTATAGGTTGTTACTTTGTTGAGTCCCTCGACTATTAAAAGTTACACAATGATCATCTGACTATTTATTGTGTTCCAAACTCATCTTTTTCTGTTAAAAATAGACTATATTCTGAGCTAAACATTAACTTGTTAATTGTGATATGATGAAATATAATCTCAAAGTCTCAAACAAAAGATCATATCATAATCATCATGTTAACTTCCAACTTAAACAATCGTAGATTTTTAAACAGAAAATGATGAATTTGAAACATAATGAATAGTCGCTGATCATTTTTAACTTTTAATAGTCGAGTGACTTCACAAAGCAACATTCTACAGTCGGATAATCATTTTGTAACTTTTAATAGTCGAGAGATTTAATAAAATAATACCCTAAGTCAATGAACCATTTGTATACTTTGCCCAAATTTAAATTCAAATTTTATAATTTTTATTAAACTTAGAGGAAGTTGATTGTGAGAGTCAATACGGTCTAAATTATTCATAATTTTATGAATTATCAAACAAATCTGTAGACACACAGGATAAAAATGAAAACTTTAAATCTGAATATGATTTATGCAATCGATTTCATTTGTTAAAGTTTGTATATTTCACGTCTGACAGAGAAGTTTGAAGGATAAAGTTATTTATATCATATAAGACAAATCTTGATATAGATAAGTTATTATATGTTTAAATATATTTTCAATTGAGGTGCATAAAATTTAATTCCACTAAAAATATTATTTTTCTACTCGCCCTGATATTAAAATGTTTAGTTTGAATTGAATTTAAAAAAAATTAAATGAAGTTTGAGTATTAAAATATGACTTAAATAATTTATTTTTTTAATAATTGGTGAATTAATTTTTAAGTTCAAATGATTTAATCCCTTAACTAAGCATAATAAATATTTATTATACATGAAAAAGAAATATATATATATATATATATATATTGTACATGATAAAAAATACTAAATTAAAACCAATTAGTATAATATATTCTAAATTTAATAGAAAAATAAACATGAGTCTACCCGGTCTGAACCATGTTTTATAAAGGTGATTAGTAAGTAAGCATGTATGGTACAATATGTCAATATATAAATCATATTATTATAAATATTAAAATAAAAAGAAGCATCAAAGTTTCTCTATCTAATTTCTCGTAAATTGATATTTTTATAGGAATGGTCGTAGTCATAGTTGAATAAAAATTGTTTCCTTTCTCTTCAAATAATTTGAATTTCTCTTCAAATAATTTGAAAGAAACAAAGAAAAATGAATGGTGGGTCAAATTTTAGAAAAGCTTTTAATATAAAATAAGTGTTTAAATTATGTATCGAAAAATGTTTTAGTATCTAAATTTTTTTCGTTAAAATAGGTATTTAAAGTTTTAAACGTTACACTTTTAGGTGCTAGACACTAACTGCAGTTAAAAATTTACGTTAAGTGACACATGTTACGTTTTGGTGATTTTGAGAATATATTTAAAAAATTAAAAAAAATTTGTGAAAAAAAACAGTCATCCGCCGTGCAACAGCCCTCCTCTCTCCTTCTCCCTTCCCCTCTCCCTTTCCTCATTCAAAAGTCATCGGTCGGCCAACAGTGGCTATCATCGCCGTAGTCATCATCACTGATGTCAACCTTCGATCAAACCCTGATGGTCTTTCGTCGTAATATGCTACCATTTGATGTGGAGAATAGTTCAAAGTTTTGTCGAATTTTAAGCCATCGTCGTCGTTATTCGTCGATTCCGGTCGATTCTAACGTTCATAAGCTACATCGTCGCCACCATTCGAACTAGAGTGCTATTTCGATCAAAACTCAATCGTTCGACGACGACGACGATGGCCGACGACCGTTTGGGTTAAGAAATTGAAATTGGGAATTAGGGATTTGGGTATTGGGGATTTTAGATTTAGGGATTTTGGGTAACGGTAAGGACGACGATTGATCAATGGGTGGGTGAAGACGGGTGGGTGACCGTCCGGCGATGACGATGGTGACCGGAGATGACTGGCGACAGTTGGTAATGGGGTTGAAATGAGGGATTTTAGTTTTTAAGGTTTCTTTATAATTTCAGTAAAAAGTTGGGTTTTTTATAAATAAATTAATTTTTTTCCTTTTTTAATTAAAAAAGATTTTTTATTATTATAAAAATAAAAATAAACGATAGACACCTAAAAGTAAAGTATGATTGAGAAAATATTAGACACATATTTTTAACGAAAAAAATTTTAAACACTAAAATATTTTTCGAAATAGAATTTAGACATTTATTTTTGTATTAAACTTTATAAAATTAAATCCAAAATGAAATATCTAATAAATAGAAGATTTATTTCCCATCATATTATAGTACTAGTTTTGTTGGATAAATACAAATGAATAAATGTGAAATGAAATCCAACAATTTTGCCTTTAATTGGAATCCATTTTTCAACGCAAATACGCGTCTGACTTGGCTTCGAATTAAACAAATGCTTCGTTTTGAAGGAGATGCTTGGCTATTGGAGAAATAGCAAGAGCTTTTGGCTTACTTGCTAATTAAGGAAGCCAATAACATTGGCTATGGGCTGCTGCTTTTTCCCAATATTTTTGTCAACCTTTGTTCTTCTAAACAACTTCGATTTTCTTTGCACCCATTGAAATTATTGGACCAATCGACATAAATAATGAAATTTAAGATTTCTTTTGAAAATATTTTTCTTTTTTAAAATAATTTGTAAACTTGTCAGGGAAGCTTATCATATCATCTTTCTTTATTGATAGTTAGTTAATTAATAATTTTCATCTAATGAGAAATTTTTTTAATCTAAGATAAAACGTTATGAATTAATATACTAAAAGAAATAAAATAGAAATCAAAGTAACACTGTTATAAAACATTAAAGACATTTTTATCATTATGACTCTATTTATAAACTTTAAAACTTTTATGAAATTTTAAATCTTAAACAATAAACTCTAAAATTTTAAATCCTAATTAAAGTAAGTGACGCTAACAGATACAAATATAAAGTTTAAATTTTCTAGAATATATGTATAAAAAAATATAAAGTGAGATATATCTTTTTGTTGAATATAAATTATATTTAATATTTATTTCCATATTGAATTAATGAATAAAAAATATTGTCAAATATATTTTTTTAACATTGATTGCAACTAATTTCAGGGGATTTATGGAAATTGTATACTTTTAGTTTAGTACACTTAAGAAATAATATCTTTAATAATTATTTTCTTTGAATGGTTAATTAGATTTATTCATTCCACAGGGAAATAAAGAGCA